CCATAAGGAGTCCCCAACCAAGGAAACCCCATAAGCACACCAAATCCCTTCCCTATAGGAACCCCACTTTGACCTTTGTCCATTTCCCAACCTCCACAATCCACCTCACCCATGTTGGCCACACTTGCCAGCCCAATTTGGTTTCACCCAACCACTTGGCAGCATCTACAGTGATGGGGACGAATTTCCCAACCCCCAAAAGTCTGTACCCTATATTGAGTCAACCCCACAGCTTCCCATAGTCACCACAACCAAATATCAAAAGCATAAGAACTTCCAACGTTCGCAACTTTCTTGTTCGTGCTCCGATTGAAGCGATACTTGGTTCGTCGGAAAGCTCTTGAGTAGAGGAGTCACTTCAGATATCTTCTCAAGCCAAATAACATTCACACACACTCAGAGAATCTAAACCACAGAAAACAGAAATTCTTGCACACGCTCACACCACGCATGCAACGCACGAACATATGATGGGAGGCAGACATGAGTGAATGCAAATGATATCATCACATAACACGATCAAGAACAAGTATCCGATTCCACGGATCGACAATCTACTTGACCAGCTTCGGGGAGCCACGGTATTCTCAAAACTCGATTTGAGATCGGGATATTGGCAGATTCGGATGGCGGATAACTCCATCCATAAGGCGGCGTTCCGGACACGATACGGATCTGACGAGTACCTCGTCATGCCGTTCGGACTCACCAACGCACCCGCTATATTCCAGGCTAAAATGAACCATATTCTCAGGCCTCTACTTGACGAATGCGTGGTGGTGTACCTGGACGACATCCTGATCTAATCAATGGACATGAAGCAGCACATCGAACACCTACGATGCGTCCTCGAGATACTTCGACGGGAGAAATTCTACGTCAAGTTATCTAAGAGCGAGTTTGCATTGAAGAACTTCAGTTTCTTGGACACACGGTGAGTGCTGAAGGTGTACATGTGGACCCAAAGAAGATCGACATGGTCTACACTGACCATTGCAGCCTGAAGTACCTAAAGACGCAGCCGACCCTCTCCAGGCGATAGGTCAGGTGGATCGACTTCCTCGAGACGCACTTCGACTACGACATCGTGTACAAGCCGGGACACAAGAATAAGGCAGATGCACTAAGCTGGCCTGGACATGTTGCCGCCATACGGGTTGAGGGGATGAATCAGCTACTAAAAAGACTCTTTATACACGGGTATACTATCGACCCCGAGATTCCCTTGGCAGAGAAGAAGAAATTGCTGCAGTGGGACCACGACATCGCACTACGCAAAAGGATCAACAAAGATGTGGGTACCCAACTACCCACCTCTTTGGCAACTACTTCTCGAGGAGTTCCACGATGTACTCTACTGTGGACACTTTGGGAGTAACAAGAATCTTGCCGGGATTGCGAAAGTCTACTACTGGCCTCACATGGCAGATGACGTGCAGAAGTTCGTCACTTCGTGCGACACGTGCCAGCGCATGAAGAGCGGTCAGCAGAAGAAAGCAGGACTTCTTCAGCCTCTACCTGTCCCAAAACTGCCTTCGCAAGTGGTCAGCTTGGACTTCATCACCGGGTTACCACCTACCAACGCGGAGCATGACGCCATCCTGGTCGTCATCGACAAATTCTCAAAGATGGGACACTTCATCCCGACGCATACAACCGCACGTACGGAGGAAACAACACTGGTATTCATCAAACGCATCATCTCACAACACGGGATCCCGACAACCCCCATGTCCGACAGGGACCCCAAGTTTACTAGCAAGTTCTGGAAAGAGCTCATGTCACTCATGGGGACACGCCTAGTGATGTCATCGGCATATCATCCCCAGACCGATGGGCAGACAGAGAGCTTGAACCAGATTGTGGAACAACTCTTGCGCGCAGCATGCAAGGACGACATTAACAAGTGGGACTTGCACTTGCTGGTGTTGGAGTTCGCCTACAATAATGCAAAGCATGCCGCAACAGGAGAGACCCCATTCTTCCTCTGTTACGGACGACATCCACTAACTCCACAACAGCCGACAGTACCTGCAACCGTCCAACCCGCGCACGACTTCGTTACCACAATGCAGCATCTTTGGGATCGGACACACAAGCGTCTACAGAACATACAGTCTTCACAGAAACGCTTGGCCGATCGCCATCGCCGTGATCATACCATTGCGGTTGGTGACTATGTGCTTCTTGACACATGCAACCTCAACCTCGGTCACCTTCCATCCAAGTTACGACCTCGCTTCTGCGGACCTTTCCTCGTAGAAGAGCAGGTCATTCCAGTCACATTCCGCTTGCGCCTACCAGTTACTTGGAAGATTCATAACGCCTTCTACGTGTAGCTTCTTAAACCCTATTGGGATCCAAATAAGCTATACACGGGACGCCAACCTCCGCCGCCGCCTCCAGTCCTTGTGAATGATGAACCTGAGTACGAGGTTGAATCTGTGCTTTCACATCGTCGTCGTCGGCATGGCGCCCTTGAGTTTCTCATACGCTGGAAGGGCTATGATCCTTCTAAGGACAGCTGGGTCTCTGAAGAAGACATGAGTAACGCCTGAAGTTCTCTCCGCGATTATCTTGTCAAGCAGTGTGTTACATCTACCACCCAGCTTTGAGGGGGGGAAGTGTGAGAGTACGCCGAAGTTCGACATATTTCTCATTTCCATAATTTTACTCTATCTTATTCTCCTTATTTTCCTCTTTCATTTGCATTTTATTTCACCTCAGTCGGACTACTATTCTATTTTCTAGAGCTTTCCGGTTATTTCACTTTTTCTGTATTTTGGCACTGACATTTACATTATACGGCACCGACAGCACCGACGGTGGTGTACAAGGCGTAATCTCGCCATAATCCGAAGTGCTAATGGGCTTGCGTGCTTACGCGCACTAGTGATTATTTGTTCTAGAAGAGCGCGTTCCCGAAGGTTCGGATTATCTGTTGTTTCTATGTATTTCTGAGTATAAATACGCCTTGTACTCACCTTTAGTGCAACATTCTCGAGTGGAAATTCGATCCTGTGACAGTCGAAAGACAGCTCGGCGAAGGCATCGACGAAAACGGGCGTCTTCGGACGCCGACCAGTCTGCTCCTCGTCGATCAACCACCTACGTAGCTTGTCGACATAGGACTGCTGGTGTAATAACAGCTTCCGCACTGGACGATCTCGCGCACAATTTCGAGGTCCAAGTACTTCTCGACCGGGCTGATCTCGCGCAGCTCAAAAGTGGCCTCCAGCAGCTCCTTCAGCTCGTTCAGGATCGCGGTGCTGCTGCTGGTGGCGAGCAGGTCGTCGACGTAGACGAGCACCCAGCACGCCACTCCGTCGTCGCCAAATCTGAAGTATAGAGCCTCGTCCACCTGGCTCTTGCTCCAGCCGGCGCCCGTCAGCACCGTGTCGAGCGCCGAGTACCACAGCAGAGGGCTCCGCTTCAGCCCGTACAAGCTCTTCAGCAGCTTGCACATGCGTCTTGTGCTGTCGTTGTAATAAGCCGTCTGGTCCATGCAGAGCACGCGGTCGAGCTTGCTCTGCAGAAAAACATGCTTCATGTCTAACTGCATGAGGTGCAGGTCGAGGACGGCGACAATGCTGAGGAAAATCCGCAGCGTCACGTAGCTTCCGACCGCTGCTTACGTCTCGTTGTAGTCAGCTCCGTAGACCTGCGTGAAGCCCTTCACCACCAGGCGGGCTTTGTGCGTGCGACCGTGTTGTCGAAGTGGTACTACTTTGTCATTAGAACCCAGCGGTTCTTCATGACATTGACGCCGCACAGACGATCCACAAGCTCCCGTGTGCCGTCGGAGATCAGACTTCGAATCTAATCGTTCATCGTCGCTTTCATCGCCTTTCCTTTCCAGCTCGCCAATGCATCTTTCACAGTCATGTTGGCGATGTCTCAGCAGTGCTCTGGGTCACATCGGGGTCGAGGAGAGTGCTGTAGGAGGTCGGCGGAAGGCACGCATGGTAGCTCAGCCTCTCAGGAGGCTTGCCAAAGTTGGAGCGGGTGGAACATCAAACTCCAGGCTTGTCGGCAAAGACTTCCACCACGTCGCTGTCGCTGGACTTCTCTCCAGTCGACAGCTCTCCATCAGCGCCGCCGATGACTTTAACAACGTCGCTCGATGTGCCATCGTCGAACTGCTCCCTCGTCGTCCGCTCCTCTGAAGCGCGCTACTACTGCTGCTGCTAGCCTACTGCTGCTTCTGTCATGGCTAGTCCCAATGTTCTTACCTTCGATGCTGAGGGTTGAACGGTCGACTGTAGCTATCTTTGATCTTGATTATGATGCTATTCTTGCTGCCATGTATGTTGTGTCTACTAGTGCTGAGAGTGACTGTTACCTGTGTGTTCCGCCTGACCCAGGCATTGGGGCTGCTGCTCCAGGCGCTAGTGAGTTTGCTGCTCCAGGTGCTAGTGTTGTCTACTGTCCCAGGTACTGGTGAGTCTGCTCTCTCAGGTACCGAGTCGGCTCAGGTCTTACACACCTTCACCCTTGATTCAGGTGCTTCCCGCTCCTTCCGCGACGTCACCACTCTCACACCGCTCAGTCGGTCAGTGGCACTCTCCCTGGCTGGCCCCTCTGGGGGTCTGGTCCTTGCTCACTTCTCCACTGTCCTGCCGTGTCCGGCGGTCCCCTCTGGCTCCCTGTCGGGCCTCCACCTCCCCTCATTCTTCACGAACTTGGTGAGTGGAGCTGACCTTCAGGATGCGTGGGCTGACCAGTTCACTCCAGGCGATCAGAGGGTGACCCACTGTTCGTGTACTCGGACGGGCTGACACCTGGCTAAGTTCGCACGTCAGCCAGGGTCGAGCCTGGACACCCTCTCTACTGTGCCTCCTCCGGTTGCTGCGTCTGGTCAGGTAGCTGCGTCGGGTCAGGTGTTTGGTGCAGCGTCCCGGTCTGGTCCTGAATGTGCCCCCTGCTCGTGTCGCCTCCTGTCTCACCAGACTCTCCTCTGGCACCACCGCCTTGGTCACCCCTCGCCTCGTCTCCGAGGCATGGCCTCCCGTGTCCTTGTCTCTGGTCTCCCCCGGTCCCTCCCTCCCCTTCCTCCGGGGCCTGCCCCTACCTGTGTTCCCTGAGTCGAGGGCTGCCAGCGCGCCGCTCCTCACTCCTCCGAGTTCCGTCCGACAGAGGCTCCGCTGCAGACTCTCCACATAGACGTGTGGGGCCCAGTCCGCGTCCGTGGACAGGGTCACGAGCGTTACACCACAGTCTTCCCCTTGCGCCGCAAGGGTGAGGTCACTGAGGTGTTAATCGACTAGATCCGCGCTGCCCATCTCCAGCTCAGAGAGAGTTTCGGCTCGGACTTTCCTGTTCTGCGTCTGCACTCCGACAGAGGTGGAGAGTTTTCCTCTGACCTTCTGCGAGCCTTTTGTCATGCGGAGGGCATCCGCCAGACGTTCACGCTTCCGGCCTCTCCACAGCAAAATGGGATTGCTTAGCGCCGCATTGGCATGGTCATGGACGTCGCTCGTACGTCCATGATCCATATGGCTGCTCCCAATTTTCTGTGGCCGTTTGGGGTTTCAGTTTGCGACACATCAGATCAACCTTCAGCCCCGGGTCTCCAATCCGGAGACCTCCCCTACTCTGCGGTGGACGGGGAAGGTTGGCAATGCGTCAGCGTTCAGTGTCTGGGGATCTCGAGCTTTCGTCCGCGACTTGTCTGCGGACAAGCTGTCCTCCCGTGCTGTTCCCTGCGTCTTCCTTGGCTTCCCCCCTGACGCGCCTCGTTGGCAGTTTTACCACCCCACTTCGCACCGTGTTCTGTCCTCTCAAGACGTCACGTTTGACGAGTTGGTTCCTTACTACCGTCTCTTCCCCTACCGCGCTGCCCCCCTCCCCCCCCGCTGCTCTTCCTTGCGCCGGGGCCCCCCCCGGTAGAACCCCTCCCCCCTCAGGGTCCTGCCCCCTCAGGTGTGTCCCAGGTAGACGCAGTCGAGCCTGTCGAGGTAGCTGTTGACTCTGGTGCTGCTAGGGGTGCTGAGCCTGAGCGTGCGGAGCCTGGGTGTACTGGGTCTGGGGGTGCTGAGCCTGGGGGTGCTGGGTCTGAGGATGCTGAGCCTGGGGTTGCTGAGTCTGGGGGTGCTGAGCCTGAGGGTGCTGGGCCTGCTCGTGTGGAGTCTGGCGGTGCTGGGCCTGGAGGTCCTTCGGGTGCTTCGTCCCGGCGGGAGCTACTCTTTCCACAGCAGCTGCGCGAGTGATTTTCTCCGCGTTGGAGCCATGCTGCTGGAGCTGGTGGTGCTACCGGTGCTGGAGGTTCTGCTGTTGCTGGAGGTCTTGCTGCTGCTGGGGCTGCTGGGGGTTCTGGAGCCATGGGTCCCGGAGGTGCTCGTACTGGAGGTACTGGATCTGTTGGGCCTGGTGGTGCTACTCCTATTAGAGTTGCTAGCGGTGCTGGAGCTGGCGGTGCTGCTGGAGCAAGTGCTGCTGGGGGTACTGGAGCTGGAGCTGCTGCGTCTTCCGGTGGTCCTGCTGGAGCTGGAGGTGCTGGAGCTGGAGGTGCTGCTGGAGCCGGTGCTCCTGTGGGTGCTGGAGTTGGCGCTACGGGAGCAGCTAGTGGTGCTGCTGGAGCTGGTGGTGCTGCTGGAGTTGGAGCTGACGCTGGGGTGCTGGTGCTGTCCCTGTTGGTTCCGGAGGTGCTGCGCGGCCGTGGCCGTACTTCGTTCTGCTCCTTGAGCAGGTTCTTGGTCTCCCGCCTTCTACTGGTCCTGCTCCTTCCTTAGAGTGTCCACCGCCTGTCCAGTCCGAGTCACAGTTACCGCTAGGCTCCCCACTGCCTGCTCATTCTCCTTACACTGGTCCTACTGGGGAACTTGCTAAGCGTCGTGATCCTGAGTCTCGTCCTGCGTCGCCTATTTGTGCTGCTCGCACTGGTCGTCGTCTTCCGCGTCAGCGTCCTCCTGCGGTCCCAGACACGCACCAGATAGCACTGCGTCCTTCCACTGCTCCATTGAGTGTCCCGTTGCGGCTCCTCCTGCGTCCTCTCTTCCTGCTCTTGTTGACTCGGGGTCTGACTCCCTTCGTGCTGCCAGTCCTACTGTCACGCGTCTCCTAGCCACTGTTGTCAGTGACCCTTCCTTTGAGTCCACTGCTGCGTCTACCTTAGTTGCTGAGCTTGTCGACTTCGCTGCTTACTGTCGTTTAGACTACGCCGTTAGTCTTGTTGCTGAGTCTGAGTCTGTCTGTCCTCCGTCCGTCGGGGGTGAGTGTGCTCTTAGCACGTACGTTCTTGAGGACAGGCAGGAGGAGTTCCAGTGTTTTGCGGCTGCTTTACCTCATCTCGTATCCATGCTGCTTGCCCCTGAGGGAGACCCGGATGTACCAGACATCCCGACCCCGCGCTCTTACGCAGAGACAATAGAGGGTCCCTACTCCTCTCAGTGGCAGTCAGCCATGGACGCCGAGTTGGATTCCTGGAAGTCCACAGGCACCTACGTCGACGAGGTTCCCCCACCTGGGGCGAACATCGTCAATGGCATGTGGATTTTCAGGGTGAGGCGGCCGCCGGGTTCTCCGCCTGTCTTCAAGGCGCGTTACGTGGCTCGAGGCTTCAGCCAGCAGCAGGGAGTTGACTACTTTCAGACCTTCTCTCCCACCCCAAAGATGACCACTCTTCGGGTGTTGCTGTACATAGCCGCTCAGCGCGACTACGAGCTTCACTCTCTTGACTTCAGCACTGCTTTCCTACAGGGCAGCCTGCACGAGGAGATCTGGCTGCGCCGCCCACCTGGCTTCACTGGGTCGTTTCCTCCTGGTACCTAGTGGAGCCTCCGGCGGCCAGTCTACGGCCTCCGTCAGGCGCCCCATGAGTGGCACGACACATTGAGGACTACGCTTGCGGCCCTTGGGTTTGCTCCTTCTACTGTTGACCCGTTGCTGTTTCTATGCACCGAGACCTCGATGCCGCCGTTCTACATCCTCGTGTACGTCGACGACTTGGTCTTTGCTACTACTGATACTGCTGGACTCGCTCACGTGAAGTCCAAGCTGCGGAAGAGACACACGTGCACAGACCTGGGTGAACTGCGCAGCTATCTTGGCTTGCAGATCACCCGGGACAGAGCACGCCACACCATTACGTTGACTCAGTCACACATGGTGCAGCAGGTCCTTCAGCGCTTTGACTTCACATACTCCTCGCCTCAGGCCACTACTCTATCTACTCGCCACTCGCTCTCAGCTCTGCCTTCGGATGAGTCCGTAGAGCCGAGTGGCCCGTACCCAGAGCTTGTTGGCTGCCTCATGTACCTGATGACCTGCACTCGACGTGACCTGGCATACCCTCTTAGCATCTTTGCACGCTATGTTGCTCCTGGGAGACACCGACCAGAGCACATGGCTGCAGCAAAGACGGTGTTGCGCTACTTGTGCAGTACGTCGGGCATGGGGCTCGTTCTTGGAGGGCGGAGTCCAGTGGTCCTCAGTGGTCATGCAGACGCGTCTTGGTTGACGACTTGGCTACGCAGCGGTCGTCACAGGGTTACACCTTCAGCCTTGGCTCCGGCTCTGTTTCGTGGCGGTCTACCCGCTCGTCTTCTGTTATCGGCTCCAGCTGTGAGGCCGAGATCTACGCAGGGGCCATGGCTGCACAGGAGTTACGCTGGCTCACCTACCTGCTGACTGACCTGGGAGAGCCGCCTTATTCTCCTCCAGTTCTGTACGTAGACAACAAGGCCATGCTGGCCTTGTGTCGGGAGCACAGACTGGAGCACAGAACGAAGCACATTGCTCTTCGCTACTTCCTTGCTTGTGAGCTGCAGTAGCGTGGTCAGCTGCGCTAGCTTATGTGGCCTCTTGGGCCAACAATGCTGATATCTTCACCAAGGCACTTCAGCCTTGTGATCATCAGCGCTTCTGTACTATGTTAGGTTTCGTACCTACCTGACCTCACTTGCTTACCTCTTGTCGTTGCTTTGTATTGTGATTTATATATCCTTGCACTTGCTTGTTTATCTTTATATATAATCCTGCATGTGAACTGGCCTTGTGGCCTTTGAACCTGTGCTCGGAATGTGTGGTGACGTTGTGATCCACGCTGAGCTTTCTTTGCTTTGCTTTGCTTGACTGGTCTTGTGACCCCTTGTTCTCCCCCACTTTGCCTATAGGGGTGTATCAAACATTTATCATATAGCCTATTTTGGCTGTAGTGTGGTAGATACTAAGGGGTACAGTTTCCTAGGGTTTCATACTTGTACCCAACTTATTTCCTAGTCAATCATTCCACTTAGTTTCTTCACAGAATAGAGGCGGAATGGAGGGAGAGAGATTGTCAGACGTACCATTGTCCTCGGCTTTGAGCAACTGAATTGCCGACGACAATGAACCCGTTAGCGCAGAATCCTTCGTCCGCGATGACGCCGGCCCATGCTCCACCTTCCACTCCTCTAGAGACATTGACTCGTAGAAGATTGCTTCCACGGTTGTGACGATGCGGTTGGTGGTGAGATCAAGCACCTCCCAGCCCTTGCTCTCTGGCGAAACACCGAGGTGCGTACCTTCGGCGCCAACTTTCTGCCGCGCTGCTGCTCCGGGACCATGAACTGCACCATGCAGCCCCACACGCGCGCCAGAGTAAGGTCCGGCTTGTTTTTTAACAGTAGCTCATACGTCAACATCCTCGAAGGAAGGGAGGCCCTTTTGAGACATTTGCGCACCCAGACGGCTTGGCGAAGGGTGAGGTGCCACCAGCGATGCTTCTCACCCATGTGGAGCAGCATCGTTCGCGTAGCTTCGACGACTCTACGCATCTCGCGCTCCGCCATGCCATTCTGCTGCGGAGTGTAGGGACACGTGAGGTTGTGGAGGATACCTTTGTCCTCGACGAGATCGGTGAAGGCCTGACCGAGGAAGTCCCTTCTATGGCCAGAGCGCAACCTTTTCACCGACTTCAAGGTCTGCCGCTCCACTTCCTTCAGCCACTTTTCGAAAACGACGAGCACGTCGCTCTTTTTCGCTATTGGACGGACCCACACAAGTCGAGTATTACGGTCCTTGAGGAGGAGGAAATATAGGCTCCCATCTATGTGGTCACGCGGAAGGGGCCACAGAAGTCAATGTGCACGACGTCGAGGGCGTTTTCAGAGTCTGATCCCTTCTCTAGAAAAGTATGTCGCGCTAGCTTTCCGCCGATACAGGAGGCATACGGCAGGTCGGCTCCAGTCGGCTTCTTGATGTCCGAATCAATAGCATCACCATGCTTCGTCGAACTCTTGATCGTGTCAATGCCAACGTGCGCGAGCCTCGGGTGCCACTTATTCCGCGTTGGCTTTGTCGCCGATGCGATCGTCCGCAGAGCAATTGCATCCGTGGAAGATGTCGTCGATTTCGAGGAGCAGGGGCAGAGATCGGTACAGAGGACCCGGCCAGTGAAGCGTGCTTGACCGAGCACATCTCCTGCAACGAAAATGATCAGCATCTCGTCGCCCTCATCCGACAGCAGATTCGCCTGCACGCCCGGGACGTACAACACATCGGGGATGAGAATCTGCTTTCCGGTCTCCCCTTTCTGAGCAACTATGCCACGACCTTCGACATTCTGAAGCGCCCCGTTGAATCCGCGCACGTGACGGATTTCGCCTCCTGGCTTCATGTCGACGAAGGCCTTTCGCGTTCCCATCAAATGATGATAGCAACCGCTGTCGAGGAGCACCACCGTTGGATTCGCGTGCACGGCTGCAGCGACCGCTTGAAAGTCTTCTCCAGCCTCCGGCGCCAGTAACTAATTGGCTCAACCACTCCAACCATCAAACAAGAGGCTTCCTTGCCGATCGAGGTATCTCCCTCTGATTTTGACGGCGTTTTCGACGACACTGGCTTCTCCTTGCGCGGCTGGTGGTCTCGACAGCGACGGTCGCTGTCAGTCTTTCCGCGGCTTCCTCGCTGATCGTTGTCGGACTCTTCGCGGTTGGGGCAGTCGTACAAGAGATGGTCGGGGTCTCCACAAAGTTAGCAGCGGTGTCCTCCTCGACGCGAACCACTGCTACCGCAATCGTTGCCTTTCGCAGACTTTCCGCGGTCGGTGCCCTCCGACGACTTCGTGATCGACGACTTTCCGCCACCGCCTCCGCCTCTGCCTGACTTCCTACGCTGCCCCGTCTGACGTCCCTGCTTTGTCGGAGTGATGTAGTTGGTCTGCGAAAGGAGCTCTCTAGACCGCTAAGACTCCTGCATGAATTTGTCCTGGATGATGTGGCTCGAAAGCGAGTCCTCGTTCAGAGTCTCGCACGTGCCGGGAACTGTCAGTATCCGGCGCATTAGATTGTAGCTCGAGGGGAGGCCACTGATCACATGGGTGACATACGACACCGCCGAGTAGTCGACGCCGGCCATCCGCAGATCGGCCAAAACTCGTCGTGCTCAGTTGAAGCCTCGGTGGAATGCCAAGTCGGCAGCTTGACTTCCACCACATCGCTCGAGGAACTATCTCCAAACGACTCCCCTGCATCGTTGTTGTCTTCGCCAATGACCTCCACAACGTCGCTCGACGAGCCATCGCTGATTTGTTCCCCTATCAACTGCTCCCCTGTCACCTGCTCCCCTGCCTGTTTCTGCATACTAGGTGCGCGGTTCTCAGAAGATGAGGCAGGTCGACTGTCGACGATGCCGATGCGCGGCGCTGAAGGTAGCGCGTCAAGTCTTCCCTCATCACCGAGGTCAAGCCCCCACCAGGCCTTTGGTGCCAGCTTCCCAACGAGCTGGGGACCATGAACTGCACCATGCAGCCCTACACCCACGCCAGCTGGTACGGTGTCGTCCCCTGCGGCGTCATCGACCGCTCCAAGTAGTTGCGCACCTAGACAGCCTGTCGCAAGGTGAGGTGCCACCAGTGGTGCTGCACACCCATGTGCGACATCTCCTGCTCAGCCATGCCGTTCTGCTGCAGAGTGTACGGGCAGGTCAAGTCGTGGACGATGCCTTTCCTGTCGACAAAGTCAGTGAACTCCATCCCAAGGAACTCCCTTCCGCGGTCAAAAGGGAGCATCAACACCGTCTTCTTCGTCTGACGCTCCACCACCAGCAACCACTTCCAAAACTCCTGCAGCACGTCTCTCTTTTTAGCGACCGGCTTCACCCACACAAATCGAGTATTGGGGTCCTTCAGCAGGGGGAAGTACAGGCGGCCATCCTTGGCAGCAACCTGGAATGGCCTGCAGAAGTCAATGTGCACGACAACGAGTGCTGCCTCGGCGTCCGAGCCCTTGTCGGGAAAGGTGTGCCGTGCTAGCTTCCCGCCGACGCACGAAACACACGGCAAGTCAGCCCCGGTTGACGGCTTTAAGGCCGATAGCGACTAATTGCTTCACCGAACTCTTGATCGTGTCGACGCCAACATTTGCAGAGAGCACCACCTCGGTCGACTTCGACCACGTCTTCGTCAAGCAGGGGCGAAGGTCGGTGCGAAGGACGCGACCAGTGTAGCGTGCTCGACCGAGTACCTCGCCTGTGCTTGACATGAGCAGCTGCTCGTTGCCGTCATCCTGCAGCTTTACACCGCTCTCCTGCAGCTGGCCGGCTGACAGCAGGTCCGCCTGCACTCCCGAAACGTAGAGCACGTCAGAGATAAGGACTTGCTTCCCGGCCTCCCCTTGCAGAGCGACGGTGCCGCAGCTCTCGATGGTTTGCAAAGCCTCGTTGAAGCCACGTACATGCTTCACATCGGCGCTCGGCACCATATCGACGAAGACCTCCTTCGTCCCCATCAGGTGGTGTGAGCAACCGCTCTCGAGCAGCACCACCGGCAGATTTGCTTGCACGGCGGCCGC